CATACACGCATCTCCTTAACTCTTCTTCCGCGCTCAAATAAATTAAACGAGTCATCGCGCGCGCGACAAGTATAGACACGGTGTTACTTACATAGGTACGCGGCCTTACGTCATTCGCGCGTGCCCGAGAGAAGAGGGCTGCAACTCATTGTCAGCTCTCTATCCTTGAATCTTACTCGAAATTGGCCGCAATCAAAGTGCCACGTCAACATCCCTTCTTCGCCCTCTGTTTAACGACGACGACGATGCTTCTTCTCGTTGTCTTCTCGTTGGCAGTCGGGGAAATTGGCGCGACTTCCGTCACGCATCATCAGCTCGATGATAAACTCGATGAATCAGCGCGGACCGAGCAGCGCTCGACAAGTTTGATCACTGCTAAAATCACGTTTCGATCGTGATTATGTCATTGATCAAGAAAAGAAAATCTCTCGATAAAACTGCAAATGTATTCATCTCTCTCGCACCTAACATCACAATTAAATTATTCGTAAACTATTTATATGTGCGAATATTTACATATTTTCTACAGATTAAAGCTTGAATCTGACGTGGAGTTTGAATTAAAAGATATAAACCAATATTTTATGATGTGTTTAATCTCGATTCATTGGAGCAATATCTTCAGGAAGGAAGCACGCTCACTATTACATATATTTTGAAGTTAAAAGTATTAGGAAAAGAAAAGATATACATAACAGAAATAAAATAGATGAGTTTAGTTCGATATTAAGATTACGCTCGATTCAGTAATAAATTCAAGGAATTACGAGAATGGCACAATTTGATTTAATTAAAATGCGACTGCATGGCTACGGATATGAAAAGAAGTTTAAAGAAGCACTTGTGAATGTATACGCAAGTTGCAATTCGAGTGTAATCTTCCCCGTCGCAGGCGGTAATCGCTCGGAAATCTTTGCGATATAACTGGCGTGCAACGACTGCGAAGCGTGTCTAGCAAAGACCGCAGATCGACCACCATTGCGTTCGGAATGCATCCTCATAGGCTGGAAACTAGTCTCGCCCCCAGAATTCGTTTCTGCACGAGGGTGAGTCTTGTATATCGCAACGAAACCAGTCTTCCCTCTTCTTGAACATCGACCTCGGTGTCTGCTCCGAACGACATATCTACCCCACCATGGTATAGAAGCGATGAAAATAATATAACGCACCACCACCGAAATCTATTGACACGTCACCCCATGCATACGCACACGTGCATACGTCTCCCATTCACAGCTACATGTATGTGCGCGAGAGAAACGAGAGTCGCGACTGGTTGTCGAGATCGAGATGTTAGAGAACCCCTCTGTAAATAGGCAAGATGGCGATGTCAAAATAACCGTAGGTAAGCCATGAGGTGGTCCAGATTTCTATTCGATGAATTTTAAGAGTAACGAGAAATTTCGTCAAAAAAAATTTTTTTTTGCGATTTGGACTAGCCATTTTCCACTACATTACTTTATAGAGATACATGAAACATCAGCTAGAAAATCGAAATTTCTAACAGATTTAAAGATTTATAAAATTTAGTTTTCTTACCGTTTTTTTTATTTAAAAAATTTTTATTAAACAATAAACAATTGACATTTAGAATTTTCATAATTTTGAATTTTTTTTCAGTATTTGAGAGAGAAAGAGAGAGAGGAGCAGAAAGTTTCTAAATAGTTTGTTACATCATCTACTTAATGTAATATTCTAATTAATGTAATATTAAATTATTGAATACCATATGTGTTGCATAATATACCATATGTTTGCATTAATATAAATACGTATTTGGATTAATTTGAAGAGCACACAATAGGCTAAGAATAATAATGCATGAATAATAAAAAAAAGCGAGTTGACATTAAGAAATAACGTAAATGATAATATTATAACGATATATATACGCGAGCCAGATATTAAATACACACGCACATAGTTGAATTCAAATAGTGCCACGAGGGTATTGAAAGACCACGCGTCGACTAGTGCGGGCACATTTGCGAATAACGCTGACGACATCGACAATAATGTAATAGCGCAAAGTAATTCAGCCAGTTACTGGCTACTTACTAAAACGCCAGAAATACTTATAAACTTTACGCGCTTTGCACATGTAATATCGTTTCACGCAGAAAAATCTATCAATGGCAAAATGAACACCAATCTTATCTGAAATTTAAAATTATTCATGTTTTTTTTAACATTGCATTAATAATTATTAGCGCGGCTTAATGTATTTAAATACATTATTGTAACTATCTTTCTTTAGCAAAAAATTCTAATTGATAAAATTACAAAAGATTAAAGAATAATTCATTTCAATTTTGATTTCATTTAATGAGCATTTTTAAATAAAAATGTAGTTTAAAAAAAAAGTATTAATCAGTTTTTTATAAATAAGATTAAAAAAAAGAAATTATTATTTACTATTAATTATTTTTAACTCATTTATTTATCTTGTAAAAAAATAATTAGAGGAAGAGAGAAAGAAATGTTCAATAAATAAAATAAAAATACGTGTAATTAAATTAATCAATGCCATTTGCCTCATTATCGAATGTATCAAAGAAAAGATATATTTCTAATTTCTGGTTGCGCGTACAAAATTTAATATCATGAAAAATGTACATATGCTAAGTAATTTTAATTTATTTTACAAATACTTTATAAAAATGTAAAAAAATTAAAATGAATTTTTCTTTATCTATTAATTAATTAATTAATCTTCTTTTATCTATGTCAATCTTTCCTCTTTGATTATTTTAGTTTGGCAGAAAATGCTTGAATATATATATTCTTTTGCGAACAAAGTGATATAAAAAGTGATATAATTCACAATAAAAATCATATAAACGAGAAATTAATGTTTTAAATATGTATTAAATACTTTTGACAAATTAATATGTAAATTTATGTATCTTATGTACACGCGCGTGCATGCACATTTTCTACCGATGCTTATCGATCGCGTTCATCTATAATCTATCACGTACACAATGTACAAAACTCTTTAAAAGAGCGTATCGCAACACAAACGACATCATTGCTGTCGCGCATTGCGTAGAGACCAACACTTATAACGGCGGTGAACAACACCTATTTCTCGACACGTAGAGAAGCAACAACACGCATGCCATAGACAACTTGCCACTTGTAGCAATTGACCACGCAAGTATTTACCGTCCCCTTCGGGCTACGTGACGCTATGCAATGTGATTTCGCCTTACTTTGAACATGTTACGTTTGTTCATTTATTCTTTTATTTCCAATTGTAACCACTTGCAATTTGACTCTCAACATGCAACTATTCATCCCATCATGCTTCGCGCTATAAACCAAATAATACAAATTATTTTGCAATGATTCAGGAATCAGATTTTCATCGACGATTTGATAAGAATTGTAAAAACATATAAAAATCATACAAGTACTTGTTACATAGTTTCACGATCATATGTGAAAATAATTTGATGCAAATATTCAACGGACAATTCTGTATTAATCTATGCTACTTTTATTAAGAGACGATTGTATTATTTGTATAAACTGCACTCTTTGATAAAATAGTCATTTAAATTTATCAATCTAAATTTGTCAGAGATAATGTTTATTTGATCGGAAAAATATAGATTGAGAGAGTTAAGGAGATTCGCGTACGAGACAGAGCCGCCGTGTTAGGCACTCAAAGATACCTATAAAGATGCCGAGCACGTCTGGCGATGGGCAGGCCGCGCGGGTCACAATCTCATCTGCCGATCCTAACCGGTCTCTTTTCCCTCTCTCATTCTTCTCGGCCCTTCGGACGTCTAAACTCCCGCTGGACAAGCGCGCGCCATTATCTTATTTACGCCTCATTGTCTCAATGTATCATACTAATATCGCGCCTGCCTCGTACCGACCGACAACACGCTCCTGAATCGTGTGCACGTGAATGCGCCGCACATTGCGAGGAATGTTTACAAAAACTTTGTCCCTTTCGCAATTTTAATAAAACTTGCTGAGCTCAGAAAGCGAACTAGGGTGTAATTTCGATATGTTCTCTTATTTTTGCCGACAATAAAAATTCCAAGATCGAAATCATCTTTCAAAGCTGTGACAAATCCTTTTTTTTCTTAATTTCTAAATTTTTTCCTCTCTTGTCATGCATATGTGTATATTTAAAACTATAAAATATAATTTTCAATGAAAGGTATATATGTTTATATTGCTTACAATTAATTGCGAGTTAGAAATCTCTTTGTATAAAATCTGAAAAACGCGGTCTTTTGTTTCCTTCCTTCTTTATTATCATCTTCAAAAAATATTTTAGAGATGTGGAATTTACGTTTGAGGATTCTGTCCCTTCATCCTTTGCTAAGAACATAAAATAGTGGCAAAGTCAGAAGCCAAGAAGTATACCGCAAGGGAACCTGAAATATGGTTAATAGTTGTATTATATTGCCGTACTAAACAATTTTATGCAGCGGCAATCTCGTTTAATTTATAATTCTAAACGTTGCGCTATTGTTCCTTCATCTTCAGCCGGACCTTTTTGTATATTCTGTTTTGACAGTCGGCGGGTTCTGCCTATTAATTTTATGAGAGATTTTAACACTTAAGGTCTCTCCTTAATTTCAAAGGGAGAAATCTCTTTTATTTAATCTGATCTTATTTGATGTTCCTTTACGAAAAAGATATCGGGCATTAATATCGGATAGAGATGCAGTAAATATTAAAAAGAAACGGTCAATATAGAAATTGTTATACGAAATATTTATAGGAAATATTAATGAATATCGGTATGATATATATTTAAATAGGTTCAATCTCAAAATACAATGAAAATAATAAAAATCATGTGTATAATAATTACTAGAATATACATACACGTATATCGTACAATATATTGATACATTTACTCGATAAAAGTTTTTTTTAAAAACAGATACTTTAAAAAATTTTATAAATTATAATATATATTAACAATATTTTTTTCTTCATTGAGATATTGAGGTAGATATTAAGTGCGACATAAAATTTTTAAAAAAGTCTTCGACATTTATTTTGATGGTATCATACATAATATCTCTCGCACGCATTTATTTTTACCGCCGGCCAGTTCTCTATATACATATATAATATTCATAATATCTTTAGCAACAATTTTCTATCTATGTACATATACACCTTGTAATAAGAAGCCACGAATGACTATCTATAAATTTGACTATATACAATTATCGATTAATCGCGCGTTACTGTACATAGATACAGTCCGTCAATGAGAGATCATAAGTTAAAATTCTATCTACGTAACTATTTACAGCATTTTTTCTTTATACTATTGTCCTATATGAAAGCGATCACTGTAAGATTTATAATGAGACAAAAAAATGTCAGGTATTTTGATAAAATTTCGCCATCAATATCGTTTGTAAATGAACGTTGTGTGATGCGTGTAGATATTTAACGATATATTTACAAGAAAAGTGAGTGCAGTGCATAGAATATAAGAGATATACAAATATAGGAACGAGTAAAGTACAAATTGACCGTAATTAATTATATATGTATATTGAATATACAGATTATTAATTATATTCTTATCAGAATTATTGGAATCGTCAATAAAGATTTGATCTTATTGCGTCTCCTTAGCTACCTAATATCGGTCAATTTCTCTCGATAAGTGGCATGCTCCATCTCAGCTGCTAAAATCGCATTGTCAATAATATAAAAATAAATTAAAGAAATCTCGAAAAGATAAATTTAGTCCAGCTAAATTTTTAGGAAGTTTTTCTTTGGCTATACATAGAATATTATGGAAATTTGACTCGATGAACGTAATTTTACATGCAAAGCGAAACCGTGCTGCACTTTTGAGGGCATTGGTCGTTTCTAAAGAAATCTTGAATTGCGATTCAGCTTTGTCGGCCTGTGAGGACCGTGATGGGCTTTAGAAGAAGCTGCGGCGGATTGTGAGGAAGCGGTCTCGGCGGCTGGACAGAGTTACAGATGGTAACCGGTGGCGAATGCGGATCCATCGGCTCCGGACTACTTCCGGGCGAAGCCGTGCTAGAGGCAGGCTGACTTAAAACTGGCGCTTGACTGAGATGATACCTAGGTTGTTGATTGAACACCGCTGCCTGATGTTGCTGATGCGCCGCGATAGACCTTAAAGTGGTATAAAAGTCCTGATAAGGATGCCCTGGTGGCGGGATTCCGGACGTCGCGATACCGGGAGGATAATTAGTAGGTGCCTGCAGTAGCCTTTCCACAGAGAACGCTCCGTGAGCCGCCGGAGGTGCCGCCGTCGCTGGAAGAGGCTGCGGCTTACAAGGCAAGCCTGTAGCCGATGTGGTTGCCGCTCCAGGCAACAGACTGGCCGGATATCCGGCCGGAGTTGTATAAGAAGTGGTCACGGGATATGAAACGGCGCGATGGAGACACGGTAAGGTGTAGAGCGATGCTGGCCAGCCTGGTGGCGGATAATGTGGGTAAAGTCCGCCGAGCACTACGCTCCTCTTGAAGGCTGCTAGCCGAGACCTGGAGGCTGCCGTAGTCCTGCGTCGAAGTTTTCCTGTGGTACCCCCGATAAACACATCCTCGGAACTCGGATCCAGCATCCAATAGTTACCCTTGCCCGGATCGTCGTAATGACGAGGCACTTTGACGAAACATTTGTTGAGCGACAAATTATGTCGAATGGAATTCTGCCAGCCCTGCTTGTTATTCTCGTAATAGGGAAAGTGACGCATTATGTATTCGTAGATGCCGTTCAAGGTAAGCCGTTTATCGGGGCTTTGCCGAATGGCCATCATGATTAACGCGTTATAACTGTACGGTGGTTTCTCCGCCTTCTTCTTGTCCTCCGGCTGCTCCTTGGAGTCTTTTTGGCTCGTCGGACTGACGGACGTTGCATTCGTGGAGCAATCCAAAGGCGGCGTTTCCATGCCATTACCGGTGACATCGAGATCGCTGTCGCTGTCGTCAACGTGACCGGCATCGGAAGAATCCGAATGGCTGACCGACGGCGCGGGTGTCCCGCCGCAAGCTTCAGGTAAGATGCTGCGGATACTGAAGTTGCTCTTCAGGGCAGCCCGTGGCGGCGGCGAAGCTGTCACGGTGTGCTGCTCGCCTGAACTCTCCATATTCACCATACTTCGAATTCGACTTTCACAGGCAATTACACGACATACGTCGTATCCCGCGCGCACTTCCAGCCTCGTTGCTGGGTATCGCGAATGTCCGAGCCTTGCATAGGATCACCGTGCCTTTACGTACACGAATGACTTAAACGTTCACTCATGTTCTATATCCCATAATGTTACGAACATTTCGTCACCTCGTTCAATTGCACAGCACACTCTACGTATTTGACGCAAGGTCCGTTCGTTTCGCGCTCCTCCACGTTTTCTACCGTTGTAACAATGTAAACTGAAACATGCACTCTCAGCAGCGCGTCCGTCTCCTATCTGGCCGTCTCCCCGCCACGCGTACTATTTATACCCGGCGTTCGGATACGCCTACCAGCAACGACATCACATGCCTCGAGGGGTTCGCTGACCAATCGTGGTGGTAGCGCACCAGCAACGAACGCACCGTGTCCCTCGACCCCACCACGGTGTTTGCGTCCAATGTTTGACAGCAAACAATGCAAGCGGTGCGGAGCCACGACGAAGGCAGGGATTTCGAAGGTGGCAGCAAGGCGCAAGCGACCGCGCAACGTGTAGTGGGGAGCGCAGCCGCAACTAAACGTGTATCCCTGCGTGTGCAAACAATATCAACGCGCTACATTCAAGTCTTTACGCCCTCCTACGGGATTGGCACGTTCTTGCACGTCGAGTATGTCGCACCACGACAGGATCGGCACGGGAGGAGAAATGAATACGGCGCGAAAGTGTGTGCGCGTGCGCGCGAGCACGCATGTGTGTGTGTGTGTGTGTGTATGTGTTTTTATCTTTCTTTACGGCGGGCGAAACGTTCAATTTTCATAGCGCGGCCGAATATGGGGATCTACTTGTTGTAGAACGTCGTTCGCACACCTGGTGCATCGACTCGATGCACATTTGTCGACTGAGACGCGATAAAAAATAAAACTTACACAAATCAACATTATTCTCACGAATTTGCAAAATCTGTAAGTTATTAAATGGTTATTATGAGTATTTTATTTTGTACTCTGTATTTTCTAGCTCTGTCTTTGTTAATTGTTATCTTATAAATGTGTATAATCATCGCAAAAGGAATGAGATCAAATGAAATCGCATTGCAAATATATCATATTATCAGAATAACTGTGCGCGATATCTACAGCGCAAATATAATAAATATGAATATAAAATAATTATTAATAGGCATCATCTAAAATTTTATGATTCAAACAAAGTTATACAATTTCTTGTAAAAAGATTTATTAAAGGCAAACAATAACGAATTATGAATTGCTTTTACAAAAATGAAAACAGAAATTCTCAAGATGACAGTTTACGAATGAAAGTTAGATAAGTCGCCCGCAAAATATTATTTTACGCTTATTATATTTTAATATATCTTGTTAATTTGAAAATAAGCAGAAAAGATGTGTGATTTCTTGGTTTCTTTGTGTCCATTTGTAAATATAGTTATAGGATTTGATTAAATATGGCAACTGTTCGAAAAAGAAACTGTTTTCAATGTTGTTTCCATTATTGCCACAATTTTGTCAGCAATTTTTTAACGCAATCGGTTTTACAAACAAAAAATATACTTTTTCTATCTACCTCTCTGATTTTTTCGATACATAAAATTGTTTGTTATTTAATCTTTTAAAAGCTATTCATAAAATGTTTTCTCTCTCTTTCTCTCTTTAGTTTGTACCTTTTATTAAAGGATAGTAATTCTCTCCTCTGCAAATATTTCTGGTACATAAAACATTATTTTTTATTAAATACAATGAATAATAGTATAAAAAATAATTTTATTGAAAAATGTATATACTAATCGTTTACTGACGTTATATAACATATCTAAGAAATGTGTGTGTGTGTGTGTGTGTGTGTGTGTGTGTGTGTGTGTGAGAGATATGCATGTCTGATTTAGAGCTGATTTAGAGATATAAATGCATACATTTTGAGCAATTTATAAGTCTCGAGGAATATTCCTCTCTAATATATCTATTGATATATATTGACAATAAAATTCAATCTTTGTATGATCTTCTAGATTAGTGTCAAATTGGAGTAATGCAACGATGAATTTTTTTAAATACCACGAAATGTCACAAATTTCATATAAAAGAGAAAAGAAAATTTACATATTAAAAATAATATTGTGCAAAATAATAAAAAAAATAATATGTGAGTATAGTTATTTATATAAATATTCATCATAAATATCCCACACATTTAAATCTCGAGCAACAATCTAAGTCTGTTGTTTTACGAGATACTGCTCTTTTATAAACACAAAATTACATGAAAGAACTGTCCTTAATTAACATAAAATGGCAAAAAATACTTATATTTGTGAAATATTATAATAATAAATGATATATGATGAAAGGTTTTTTCGTCTAATCACTTTTACATGTATGAGGTTGATGTAGTCTATGAATTTAAAATTATACTAATCGATATGGTCTCAGCGCGAATGATGCGAAATGGACAGAGGCGCATACGAATGAATAGGGTAAAAAGAGCACGTGAAACATGAAAAAAAGAAAACCGAAAAGAAGACTGCCGTAGATTTGCCGAGAGTGGATATCGGCAAAAAGCAAAAGATATTCTTTGAACCGCGCATGACATCTTTATACGCGTTATTCGGCCTCCCATCGTGAAAATGTCATCACCCCCTGGTGACGCGCAGATTTAGGTGTATCCCCTTGTGTGCCCTTCTTCGTGGTATTTTCACACTGTTGATTGTGATTTAGCAAGAGTTACGAATATCTCACGAATTTGAGTTAATTTAAATAACTAAAGTTATATGCGAATCATTTCAAAAAGACGTTATTATTAAGATTTTATGCTAAAGATGTAATGATAAGACACATTCTAATAATTATAACAGTTATTAAAATATAATACAACTAAAAATACAGAACATTTAATTTACATTTTGAACAAATTAAAATAATACTTGCTTTAGTGACCAATTTGAAGGTATAATGTATTTTTCAATACAAAATATCTAATAAATGAAGAAAGATTCTGCAATTTATGCAGATATATTCAATTATAGAGTATCTAAATTTTGATTGCTCTATTATTATATAAACATATGGGATTTAAAACAATAACATAAAGCATGATTTGTTATCGATTTACATTTATTCTTCTTGCACATTTCAATTTTTCTAGTACTTGTTCTTCAATTCCTTTAGTAATCTGATTAGTGATCTGCACTGAAATTTACATCATTAATATTTTTATTATTTCTTTCTTTTATCTGTGCAATTGTTTTTTATAAAAAAATAATTCTTCGTATCAATAATTGTCAGTTTTACTTATTACTAATATATGTATTATAAGAGACATGAAATTATGAATAAAATCTATTTTGAACTCTATCGTGAATTAATCCCATCTGAAATAGATTTTAGAGTTAAAATTAAAATAATCTTTCAAGAACATTTTTAAATTTAAATTATTTATTATAATATCTGTATCTAGTATGCTTACCCTTAACGCGACCACCAATGAAGCTGAGATAGCTGGCGTAGACGTAACAAATTACAAAAATTACAAAAATTTAAGGCACTTATTACGTCATGATCGTGATATTCGACACACTTCTTTTGAAACTGCAGGAGATCGGGCCATCTATCATTCTATTTGTCTCCCATTTCGCATAGAAAAATCGCTTTTCCACTATGATGCGACATAGCAGCCTATCTATTATTTTGTTCCCTTGTCACATTTTTTTACGAAAGGAAATTGTAAAAGTGACTCGCAGGTATTAAACATGAACCAATAAATAAACCTATTTGTTCAACAATAATCGCAGATATCGTGGCAAACGTCCTCGGCCATAGATTCTTTTGTGCGGCAGTCCACTCTATAGACAATCTTGTTTCATCCATACTATTGACAATCTTATTTAAGCAAAGACGTTCGCGTAAAATGAGTTGCTGTTGCTGCAAATAAAAAACTCTATAGAGTAGATCTTTAACTGATAAGTCGATGAGAAAATGATATACATTGATTTTTTGATCCTATTCTCTGATTCTAATCTTTATCATTTTTTGTATCTGTTGATTGAACATTTGAAAATAAAAAAGAGTTAACAAAATATTTAGTTTTTTATCAACATTTTTTTTGAAATTTATAAATATTATGACAGTTAAAAATATGTTTTTATTTTTAGAGCGATATAGATCATGTTAATACGATCTCTTAAAAATATTCAAGAGATAGTTATTTTTTCCAATATAATTTGTATAATAATAAAATGCAAGCTTTGAATCTTTATTATTCTTGTATATTATAATTTATTTTATTGCATTGTTATGAAGAATTCATATATATATTTTACATTTTATATTGACATTACATTAACATTAAATATAATAATTTAGAGTAATTTTCTAATAATTATTTAAACTAATCATTATTTTAAAATTATTAAAAATAAAAAGCATTTATTACAAATATATTGCAAATCTTATTAATAATTTTTTTGCAATTTTGCATTTGTTAAAAATGATCGAAAAATGTTTCCAGCTTAATTTACAACATTGATTGTAATAGACATTTTATTTATTTATATTTGAAATATTTACTATAAAAATGCTGATAATCCTTTCATTTACATCAAATTCAATTTCATCAAAATTAATCTATGAATCATCAAATTTCCAATTTCATGATTTAATTATATCTCGCAAAATATTCTCACAGTTTCCGCAGTTAAACAGATTTGCTGAAAAAATTTTTGAAGTGTCGAAACGAACTGTCACAATTCAACTGAGTTCTGTACATGTTTTCGAATATTTCTTAACCCTTCTGACCTTTTTTTCTTTCCGTCAATGGAAGCACCCATTCTCTGAGATCCACATCAAATAACTAATCTTCCGACTAAGGAAATTGCCAACGGAGATGATCTTCATGGTGGTCGCATTAAACTCTCAGTAAGGAAAATAGGAGAGAAAGTTTTCCTATACCGACGGAAAAGTCAAAACGGTCGACTCAAAACTTTGAACCCTCAAACCAAGAGCTATCGGGATTTATCGCGCGAGAATCCTTAATACGATTTGCCAAATCTAGGAAGGTTCAACTGGACCGACATGTCAATCTACATAGGATCTACCCAAATTTCAATATTTGTACAGTCTTAGATGTGCAATGTAATATAGTTTCGAGAAATGCTTTTTTATAAACCTAAATTATATAATGTAATATAGTTTCGAGAAATGCTTTTTTATAAACTTAAATTATATCTGAAAAATAAAACTTAATTCTTGCAACTAAATATTTATTTATCACCATTATATTATAATTCCTGGTGTATTGAATAATATATT